ATAAAAGATTCAAAAAAAATTTTTTTTAATTTTTTAATTAAAAAAAATCTTTTTTAATGTTTATTTTTGAGAGGAAGAAACAGAGCATGAGTGGAAGAGGGGCAGAGAGAGAGGGAGACACAGAACTGGAAGCAGGCTCCAGGCTCTAAGCTTTCAGTACAGAGCCCGACGCGGGGCTTGAACTCATGAGCGGTGAGATCATGACCTGAGCCAAAGTCAGGTGCTTAACCGACTGAGCCACCCAGGGACACTCCCCCCAAAATTTTTTAAATAAAATGATAGGTATGGAATATGAAAGGCATGATAAATGAGAAATTCTTCATTTTGCAGCCCCAATGAAATAACACGGGCAATAATTGGCCATGGATGAAGTCTTTAGATAAAAGGTTGGTAAGGAAACTTTCAAGGGAGGCATCAGGTTGAAGTATCTGACGCTCTAACCTTCTCAACATAAGAAGAGTGGGGCAGCCAGACAGCACGCCCCTCCTGAAATAAGGTAAGAAGCAGCCAGTGCCACCTAAGAGTCATTCTTGCCAGAAGCTGAGCCTGAATCTGATCGCGCCTCGAGTACTGCCCAGTTCAGAGGGATAAAAGGAACAATAAACTCTTAGTGCCATATGCTTACACACACACACACACACACACACACACACACACACACACACACACACACACAACATGAGACATCGTTTAGGACAAGTGACCTGTTTTTTTTCCAACAACGACACTGAAATTACAAGAACAGGGGGAGGGGAGATTGTTGTAGAGAGACTGAGGACCTTTATCAACCAAATGTAACATGCAGACTTTACATCCTGATTTGGACAAAGTAGCTGCGAAAAGACAGTTGAGACCCTTGGGGAAATGTGCACATGGGCTGTGTGCTAGACAACAGCAGGGAGTGAGTGTTCATTCCGTGTGGTGTGACAATGGCGCTGTGGTTGTGTGTGTCTTGCACAAGTAAACTGTTTGACTGAGCCACCCAGGTGCCCCCATCACACACGTGAACTGATCACACACGGAGAAAAGACCTGGCACCTGGGTCATCAAAGAAAGAAGGGAGAGAGAAAACAGGTGTGGCAGAATCTTGGAAAATTATTCAATATAGAGAATGGGAACATATGAGTTCATCATAGTATTCTTTCTACTTTTGTATATATTTGAAATTTTTCAAGCAAAAAACCCTTTACTTTGAAAATGTCCCAAAGCCAAGCAAAAGTTTCTGGAAAGGGAGGGATTTTGTTCACCTCCCCAGATCCCCATGATCGTAATCCCATAGTCATAAAGTGCTTCTTCCGTATTTCCACGCTTAAGTCAAATGACTGATGCAGCATGTTCGTAAACTGAAAGACCAAATCTAGAAAAACGCTAACTGAAGAGCCTGTTTAAATGCTGTTGCAAATGCTCGTGGATTTAACGGCTTTGGAGATAGGAGAATTTATGAATATTTAACGAATTAAAGTTGCACCTCATTTCCATTTTAAATCTCCAGAAAAAGGAACTGCTGTTGTTGCAAAACTAAATCACTGAAAAAAATATGCTCCAAGGTCTTCATTGGAGGGCCACTGTGACGAAAAATCTCCTAAGCATTTTAGTTCCATAGTTAATAAGCCACGTTAAACCCCAAGTCAACTTTCAGCTATATCTGTTTTACATAAGTCTGCGTACACATATATATGTATATATTTTCATTTGCAAGTGAAATCATGCCAGTTACTTTCATGCCAATTTTCAATTAGTTCCTTTCTGTTTTACTGTTGAGTGCGGATTTTATAAATATTAAAAACGTTGAAGGGAAGCTTAAAATGTAAAAGTTTCGCTCAAACTAAAAAGTGAAGGAAGAGAAAAATCAAAAGTGACAAAAAATTTCAGATTACCGGCAATCTTAATTTTAGGAGTCTGGAATTTAGCATGCCCACACAGCAGACTCCCACCAACAGAAAATAAAAACAGAATCTCACACTCACCAGATGCGCCATAATGCTCAATTTGTGCAGTGAGGGCTGCCGATTGAACAGCACCACATCTCCATCTATGAGGTGCCTCTCCACGATGTCCCCGTACTTGAGCTCCTGAGCCATCTTTTCCCTATTTCCGTACTTCAAAAACCTACACATGTGATAAGAAACGTGATCTGTGAGAACAAAGCTCCCTCACCAAGGTGCTCCCTCTTCATGTCAGGATTCAGTCTCTAAAATGATGGATATTTCATTGGATCAAAGCTGCCTCCACAAGCCATTAAACTATGACACAGATACGTCCTCATTTTGTAAATGTTAAATATGAGAAAATTATGTCTTAGAATCACAAAAATGCAGTCATAAGTCAGCTTCTCCCACAGCACCCTGTTGATATGTTTTGTCTGCTGTTTGTCTCAAGAGATAAAAAGGCACCAGAGATCAGTGAAGGGTCAGAGCTGGCCAAACCAGTGCCCCCTAGGCTGTGAGTAGAGTCAAGTAACCCCAGAGAGCCCACACGATGTAGAAAATGATTGGCTTGCACACCCCCACGTGTTCTGTCTTCCTAGATCCAACGTTAAACGCAAGGGAACAAATAGACATTTTGTGTATATGCAACGAGTAAGCACAGCAAATGACATACCTAGGCTCACTACAATTTAAACAGTATTTTCCACAGGCTAAAATGTCACAAATGCCGGATTTTGGACGACATTCTTTGGCTGAATATGGCGACCTCTGTCATGAGAAGGTCGTTACACACAGCTAGACTGAGACAGCTTGGGGCGCCTGGGTGGCTCAATCAGTTAGGCATCAGACTTTGGCTCAGGTCATGATCTCACAGTTTGTGGGTCTGAGCCCCACGTCAGGCTCTGTGCTGACAGCTCAGAGCCTGGAGCCTGCTTTGGATTCTGTGTCTCCCCCCCAGTCTCTGCCCCTCCCATGCACATGTTCTGCTCTCAATAATAAATAAATGTTAAAAAAAAATTAAAAAGAAAAATAGATTGAGACAGCATTACCTTTTCATCTGTGTGTGTCTCTGCTGAATGAAATTGGCTCCTGGGTGAACTTCAGGGCCATTTCGAACCAGTTTCCTCAAAAAGTTGATGTTTGCTTTGTTCACCTGCACAACCACGATAGAAGACACAAGGAGAGGCTGTTAGCTTTCCGTAAGCTAGCACACTATACTGTACTGTGTCTCAATCTTTACTTTCCTTGAGTGATTCCAGAAGAAAGAGAAGAAACTTGTTTATCTCCTGCTGCCTAGAGTCTTGGGTTTAACGACAACAGCTGATTGGCACACAGGCACCCGGGTTCCAGTCCGAACTCACCACTGGAAGGGTGAAATGGCCAAGTCCTTTCTGGCCTTTGGTTTCCCCATTAGTAAAATGAGTGGGCTGGACTCAGCTGAAAGGACCTTCCAGAACATTCTATGAGCAGTTGGCAACTTTACTAGCAGTGATTTACCATGGGCTCCCGAGGTTTAAAAGCTGTGGCACCAGCACTGTTAGACCCTGGTCTGCAACATCATGTCCCATGATCTCTTGGACAACAGTCTCGTGAAATACTGTCTGAGAAGGAAACTCTGGATCATTAGTAAATCAACTAAGGATACTTTACACAAGCTTTACCAGAAGCTTCCATGATCTGGGCTAATTATGAATCTCAAAAGCAAACCCGAAGCCAATACCTTCCTGCTATCAGGCCTTGCATTTTCTATACCTCAGTTACTGTAAAGGCCATTTTACACTCATGATGAGTGTGAGTTAAGTGTAAAGTGGGGCAGCCTTTCTGGCTATGCCTCAATAGTCTTAAAACACCCCAGATATTGGACTCGATGGTTGTTAAGGCCTTAAAAATAATAATCTATCCCAAGAAAATTAACTGGGTGTGGTGTTTATCATTTAGTGGCCTTATTTTATTTTATTGCTTTTTAAAATTTTCGTTTATTTTTGAGAAAGAGGGAGAGACACAGACAGTGTGAACAGAGGAGGGGCAGAGAGGGTGGGAGACACAGGATCTGAAGCAGGCTCTAGGATCCGAGCTGTCAGCACAGAGCCTGACGCGGGGCTCGGACCCACGAACTGCAAGATCGTGACCTGAGCTGAGGTCAGATGCTCAACCAACTGAGCCACCCAGGCGCCCCTATCATTAGTTATTTTAAAAGAAGAGGTAAGAACCAACACAGGAAGAGGTCAAAGACCATACTCCTTGGAGAAGTAAGTTAGAGAAGAGATGTCTGACATAAATGTGAATATATACACACAAAGGCAGACATCTGTGTTTGTGTATGTTGCAGACACTACATGCGCTGGTATATGCGTCAGACTGGAAGATAACACGCACACCTCGGGATTTTCCAACTGTCTACTGTTTAGAATCTCAAAATAATAATGTAAAAGACTGGAGTCAAAATAGAATCGAGCGGCTGAATGGTACTTACCTTCTCAGGAAAAGTAAGAATTTTGGCCACGTGAACTGGCACGGCTACCTCATCAATCCTGAGGTTGGGGTCAGGTGAGATGACTGTTCTGCCAGAAAAATCCACTCTCTTTCCTGAAAGGTTGCCTCTAAATCGACCTAAATCAATAAAAATAGGCTATAGGTCTCTGCAGCACAAATGTATGCTGTTTGGGGATATAGTATGACCACAAACAAGAAAATTCTGTAATTTCCAACTAGATACACTAGACATGCTCCAAAAAAAGGGTAACAAAAGGCAGAAGACTGTCTCTTGCACATCTTGTTGGAAACGTACCCTGTTTTCCCTTTAGGCGCTGGACAAAACCTCTGGTCCATTTCTTGGGCGCCATGTTGAGGGGGATGCCCGAGAGCTCACTGTTAATGTAGAGGGCGCACTGCAGCTGCAGGAAATCCCAGTCTTCCATGATCATCTGGGTCTTAGCTCCTGATATGCGATGCTAAAAATGAGCAGAAATAAAGAAAAAAAAATTATCCTGGGTCAATCTTTCTCGATAAGAAGGGTTTGCATAGATACACTCCTAAACCTGGGGCTTGGAAATACTGACCTTTTTGATGACATCATTTAGGAAAATGATTTCTGTCAGTTTCATTGTCAGATCATCTTCATTGGTGCCAGACTTCAAATCACTCACGACGGAGGGTCTGATACACAAAGGGGGCACTAAAAGTCGCGTGAGAATCAAATCAGAGGGCTTTCCAGCTTCTGGGTTCATTAGAAGTAGAGGGACATCTTCAGCTGGGATTCGTTTAAATAAATTCAGAACTACTAAGGGATTCAGGTTTTCCTATGGAGAGCAGGAAAGGAAGAATGGAGACACACGTTAACTTCCCACAGCTTGGGCACGGGTTTACTTCTCCGTGCACTCTACCTGACCCATCACGGAACTCAGAGTAAGTACAAACATGGGCAGAGATTTCTGTTGGTAACACGCTACACTGGCAGAGCCCTAAACATGTGTATACCTTTCCTTCCAATTATTTAATGCCAGTAATTCCACTTCTCATAATTATTCCACAGGGTCTGACTTTAGAAGTCAACACAGAGATTTGGCTATAGGGATGTTCAGTAAAGCCGTTAATAGCGAAGAATTGAGACTGTCTGATAGGTTGCTGGCTAGACAAAATCATGGTATATCCACATGTGAGCAAGCATGAAGCCATTAAAAAACAACATTACAGGGGCGCCTGGGTGGCGCAGTCGGTTAAGCGTCCGACTTCAGCCGGGTCACGATCTCGTGGTCCGTGAGTTCGAGCCCCGCGTCGGGCTCTGGGCTGATGGCTCAGAGCCTGGAGCCTGTTTCCGATTCTGTGTCTCCCTCTCTCTCTGCCCCTCCCCCGTTCATGCTCTGTCTCTCTCTGTCCCAAAAATAAATAAAAAACGTTTGAAAAAAAAAAAATTTTAAAAAAAAACAACATTACAGAAATGTAGCCACTGTTATGGAAGGTGTTCATAAGACATTGGTAAATGAAAGAAGTGTGTGTATAATATGATCTCATTTTGGGGGAAAATGTACATCTGTAGAGAAAAGAGAAAATGTACGTTTAGCGAGGCGTTAACAGTACCGTCTGCAGGTGAATGGAATTATAATCACTTCTTCGTTTACATTTCAATTTTCTACAGTGAACTTATATTGCCTTTGTATTAACTTCATTTAATAGAAGTGCTATGCTACAACAACTCACTTGTAATACAAGAACTATACAAATGATCAGAGATACCCAAAGACGAAAGTTAAGAACAGTCAGCTTGTGTCTTGTTGCTGCTTATTACATTTTCTTGGGATGAGAGACTGTGTGACCAAGAACACGTTACAACCAGAACTTACTATGCGGAACTTAATGAAATAGGGAGCAAAACCAAGAAGAAATGTTTGAACAGCCACTGCCCTTAAAACACTGTCGCAAGAGGAAGTTTCCATGGTCCTACCCTGGAAGAGATGGCAGTAGAGTTGGGGAGAAGGAATCCTGCCTGACGTTTTGCAGTCTGGTCCCTGCTCACAGAATTCACCTCCCTCAGCTTCCCTGTCCCCCAGCAACAAGCACCTCATGGCCACCTGAAGCAGTTGGAGGAAATCTAAAACTAAGAGCTTAAGGAACAGGATGAAGGCTGAATGTCACCTGTAGTACCAGAGTCGTGCCAGACAAGGACATCACGGACATCCACGATGCAGGGGGGCAAGAGTGGCAAGAGTCACGAAACAACAATCTCCCAAGGGACACACGGAAGTGGGCCTGACTTATTGTTATGTGACAGGAAACAGAAGTTGGGGACCACTAGAGAGACAGAAGGGCTGTTTGGTCTGAGGCGGAATATCCCAACAGCTAGGGCTCCCTGGTGGAGCGTGGGCTGCCTTGGGTGGTGGTGAAGAGAGCACCGTGTGCTCTCAGCGTGCTGCTCAGTCTGCCGGAGATGCTGTGGAAGGCATTTATACCTGGTGGGGAGGCAAGACTGATGCCATCTATGGAAAAACTCTTATCTGCAGGTCCACCAACCCCTGGATTTGCATTAAAACTGGGACTGGATGGGGCACCTGGGGTGGTTCAGTTGGTTGAGCGTCCAACTCGACTCTTGATTTCAGCTCAGGTCACAATCCCGGGATTGCGGAATTGAGCCCACGGCAGGCTCCATGCCAAGTACAGAGGCTACTTAAGATCCTCTCTCTCCTTCTTGAGGGTACTCTCCCCCCCAACACCAAAAAAAAAAAAAGAGACTCTCTATCCCCCTCTTCCCAGCTTGCATGCTCTAAAAAATGAAAACAAATTGAAAACAAAACAAAAAATGGGGAGTGGATATACACTAGTCGTCTGGAGATAGAGTCCAGAGTTTTTGTTCAATTCCTAAAGAGGTCTGTGAGCCAGGAAAGGTCCAGAACCACTGCTCTATGGTCTCCACCAACTCAAGAATGCTATGCTACCCATAAAGGCATACGGGGTTCCATGTTCCTGGAAATTAAATGGGTAGGTAAACATGTCAGGATGTGGATCATCCTGAGATCAATGAACTTCAGGGCAATATGTTCGCCTGTCTGCACAATGCCCCTCTCCACAAAAGGTAAAAGTAAGTCACTGATGCTTTGTTCACTTCAGGTTACTAAGTGGTTCTGAGGAAGGGCCATTCGGAATCAGGCAAATGGTGAATTCCTGTTTTGCCCCCTCCCTTCTTCCACAGCAGGTATAAGAACCAGGATGAGGGGCCCTGGGTGGCTCAGTCTGTTAAGTGTCTGGCTCTTGATTTCAGCTCAGGTCACGACCTCACGGTTGGGTTCATAAGATCGACCTCATGTTGGGCTCTGCACTGATAGCATGGAGCCTGCGTGGGATTCTCTCCCCCTTCTCTCTGTGCTCTTTCCCCAGCATGCACACATTCTTTTGAGATATAAACTTAAAAAAAAAAAAAAAGGCAGGATGAGCTGATGGTCTCTGATGAGTCTGGAGGCCCCCACACTGTCCAAGCACTGTGAGTGGCATCAAACAGGGCCTCAGAAAAACAGATCTTGTTATAGACCACACTTAAAAGAGAAACCAGCAGAAATGTAAGATGGAACACAGGTGCTATGGAGGCACAGACAATGGACATGTGGTTGAGGAAAGAGTGAGGTCAAAGGGTCCGGAGAACAGAGGTGTGCCGGGCTGCAGGGAAGAAGCCAAGGGAAGGGAGAGTTTGGTAAAGAGGGGAAGGGAGCAGGCTGAGTAAAGCCAAAAGGACATGGAGTCTGAGCCTAAATGTGGAGGGGGAGGAAACCTCATCTATCCTCACCATGTCTGTCATTTTTTTTTTTTAAATAATTTCACTATCATAAATTGAATCATATAGATGCACTAGACAAAATTGCATTTATTTGTTTTCGAAGTTGATTTATTTGAAGTAATTTCTATACCCAAAGTGGGGCTCGAACTCATGACCCTGAGATTAAGAGTCACACGTCCTTCTCATTGAGCCAGCTGGGCACCCCTGTCATTATTCTCATACTGTCAGTAGCAGCGCTAACTACTGCAACTGGGTAATACGGTCTAAGCACTTGCTCTGCACCAGGCACTCTGTTAAGCACTTGATCTGGAATTCAACTCTTAATCCTCACAACAGCCTTAAAGCAGATACTCTTGTAATCCCTGTTTAGAGTTACAAAACTCAAGTCCAGGTTGGGTCACGTGTCTAAGGTCACAGAACAAACAAGCAGCAGAACTGGGCTCTAATCTTGGGTCTGACTCCAAGGCCAAAGCTCTTCACCACTACCCTAAACCACCTCTGGGGCATCAATCTGGATAGAGTGGGGTGAGATACACGGGGGTGGCGGCAGTGGGGGAATGCCCAGGGAGCCAAGCTCGATGCTCTAGACTCTGAAATGGGAGGGGTTACCTCCAGGGCCGAGTCATTTAGGAAGGAGACTCCCTAAACAAGATGCCTCCCAGGCCGTATGGGAGAATCGTGCTACTCCCTACTATGGAGAGTGTGTGCAGCAGAGACAGTGGTCACCCGTCCCGGACAGAAAGCTGGCAGGGGGCAGTGGTGGGCTGTCAAGGATGCTGATCCAGGAGCGGCAGAGTGCGTGCAGGGGCACCCTGCAAGTCAGGCCGCCCCCAGGAAAGCCCAGGCACCCTTCACACCCATGACCAAGGCTGCTCACCAGGCTCCTGAAAGCTTTCTGCACAGCCACCAGCCTGGACAGTGCCTCTCTCTCTTGGGTTGTACAAGGGCCAAGACCATCTTTCTCAGCCCGCCCGCACTTCCTCTGTAGCAGCTTCACCCTTACTGCCTTTGAAGACATTTCTGCCTGAATCAATTGCTGACACCCTCTCTCCCCATTTCCAGAACACTCCCCTTTCCCAGACATCTGCACGCACACTTGCAGCCCCTGACCATTCTTATTGCGTGCACTGACTCTGGCCTCTGGCTCCTTTACCACCACCAGGTTCACGGTCTGTTTTCTTTGTACCCATTCTGTTCCCCAGTCAAGGCATAATTCACACATACTAAATTCCACAAATCCTAAAGAGACTGACACGCTTCTACGCATATATACCAGACACACACTAGTGTTCCGATCAAGATGCAGAGTATTTCCATCTCTCCATAAAAGGACCTTGGTATTTTTAAAAAAATTTTTATTTTTGACAGTGCGAGCGAGCACGAGCAGGGGAGTGGCAGGGGGGAGAGAGAAGCCTGAGCATGCTCTGCATTGATGGCAGAGAGCCCCATGGGGGGCTCAAACTCATGAACCATGACCTAAGCCAAAGTCGGACGCTTAACCAACTGAGCCACCTAAGCGCCCCAGGACCCTGATACCTCTTTTCAGTCAGTACCAAGCTCTCACCCCAGGGGTAACTACTCTCCTGATGTCAATCACCACAGATCAGTCTGGCCTATTGCTGGACTTGATCTACGTGGAATCATACACTACGTACTCTCTTGTATATGCTTCTCGTTCTCTGCAGGATTCTGACCTTTGGCCAGGTTGCGTGTCACGAGTTCACTTCTTTCATTATAGCATAGTATTCCATCGTGTGGATCTATGACAATTTGCTAGGGGCACCTGGGTGGCTTAGTCAGTTAAGCGCCAATCTTCGGCTCAGGTCATGACCTCATGGTTTGTGGGTTCGAGCCCCGCGTCGGGCTCTGTGTTGACGGCTCAAAGCCTGGAGCCCGCTTCAGAGTCTGTGTCTCCCTCCCTCTCTCTGCCCCTTCTTGGCTCATGCTCTGCCTCTCTCTCAAAAATAAATAAACATTAAAAAAATTTTTTTTTATGACAATTTGCTATGCTCCCGCTGACAGGCATTTGGGCTATTTCCAATTCTGGCTTTTAATAATAAACTTGCAATGAACATTCTCATACAAATATTTCTGCAGACATATGCACTCATTTTTCTCAGGTATGTACTGGATTAAAATTGCTCAATTGTTGGGAATGCAAGCTGGTGCAGCCACTCTGGAAAACAGTATGGAGGTTCCTCAAAAAACTAAAAATAGAACTACCCTACGACCCAGCAATTGCACTACTAGGTATCTATCCAAGGGATACAGGTGTGCTGTTTCGAAGGGACACATGCACCCCCATGTTTATAGCAGCACTATCAACAACAGCCAAAGTATGGAAAGAGCCCAAATGTCCATCAATGGATAAATGGATAAAGAAGATGTGGTATATATTACACAATGGAGTATAACTTGGCAGTTGAAAAGAATGAAATCTTGCCATTTCCAACCACGTGGATGGAACTGGAGGGTATTAAGTTAAGCAAAATTAGTCAGAGAAATATCCTATAATATCACATGACTTCACTCATATGAGAACTTTAAGAGACAAAACAGATAAACATAAGGGAAGGGAAACACAAATAATATAAAAACAGGAAGGGGAACAAAGCACAAGAGACTCATATATATGGGGAACAGAGGGTTACTGGGGGGATGTGGGAGGGGGGATGGGCTAAATGGGGAAGGGGCATTAAGGAATCTACTCCTGAAGTCATTGTTGCACTATGGGCTAATTTGGATGTAAATTAAAAAAAAACAAACAGCTGAATTGTATGGTTAGTGTAGGCGTAACTTTGTAAGAAATTGTTAAACCGCCGTTCAAAGTAGCGGTAACCTTCCACACTATCAATGTGAGTGCTAGTCACTTCACGTCCTTGCAAGCAGGTAGTTTTCAGTTTTTTTTACATTTCCATTTTTCCGTGTGGGTATAGTTATAATTAGTGATTCCCTGATGACTAATAACATTGAGCAATGTTTCTTTGTTTACTGGCATTGGAATGGACGCTTTGGGACGTGCCAATTCAAGTTTTGCTCCCACTGCTTAAAATCAGGTTGTATTTTGGGGCACCTGGGTGGCTCAGTCAGTTAAGCGTCTGACCTTTGATTTCAGCTCAGGTCACGATCTCATGGTTTGTGAGTTCAAGCCCCACACTGGGCTCTGCATTGAAGTGCGGAGCCTACCTGGGATTCTATCTCTTTTCCTCTCTTTCTCTGCCTTTTACCTTCTCTCTCTCTCAAAATAAATATAAATTAAAAAAAATCAGGTTATTTTTCTTACTGATTTTTAAGGACCGTTTCCTGGATACGAGAGTCCTTTGTCAGATATATGAATTGTGACCGCTTTCTCCTAAGCCGTGACCTGCCCTTTCTCTCTGGTAATGGGGTCTTGTGAAGAGCAGTCAGGCTGTCCTACAATTCTGTCATTTATTCACCACGAACCATTCACCACCTCAAAGCCTCTGATGGGGCCACGCTCCTCGGAGCAGGACAGCTCTACACCAAGCTCTCAGTTGTGTCTTTTCTCTAGCACTCCAGCTGCCGTGGCTTGAGTCCTCTCTGTCACTTTGGGCAGGGCTGTCTCAAGCACTGCTGAGGATTAAATCAGAGGCAATCCATGTGAAGAGCAAGGAACAGGTCCTGTCCCTCTCAGCAGTCCCTGAAGGTAAGTGCTTTCATTAGCACTCTCTGGTCTTTCAGAGCCTCAGCCTCAGAATCAGCCGAGGCATTGCCGCCTGGATGTGCTGAGCTCAGTACCCTCGATTCTGTAAACCCTACTCCTGTTTGAAGACCAGAACAAACCACACCTTTCCTCAGTATTTCCCAACCAAGTCCAAAGCAACACGTTCCTCCTCCTTTCCCACCGTACTGTACTTCCGGTCTCTGCCACTCAAGTGATGGTTAGCGCCCTGGCCCAGGATGTCAGTTATCTTTTCAGACTACTTGCTCGTGACACATCTAAACGGTGGGGTCAGTGACAACAGACCCACTCTCTTACAGTTCCTGACACTCCCCATATGACTGACAGAATTTGGTACTCAGTAGCCACTCAACTGATTTGTTAGTTTTGTATACTACCAGTTCTGGATGGTACTGTGTGAATTCAGTACTAATCGAAATCAAAGTGAGGCAGAACAGGATACTTCATAAAGTTCTACTAGTTAAGCCTGTACCAAGAAAAGTAATGGGAGTTACCTACAATTTCTTAGATCTCACCCATGTGAGACACAGGCTCTCTCAGTTTATGCTCTGTATAGCTGTGATGCCACAATCTCTTAAGATACAACTGTGACATGCGTCTGCACAATTCAAAGTGTGTTAGTTAGCTGAGTGTCCGACTTCAGCTCAGGTCATGATCTCACAATTTGTGGGTTTGAGCCCCGTGTCAGGCTCTGCGCTAACAGCTCGGAGCCTGGAGCCTGCTTCGGATTCTGTGTCTCCCTCTCTCTCCGCCCCTCCCCTGCTCATGCGGTCTCTGTCTCTCAAAAATAAATAAATGCAAAAAAAAAAAAAAAAGCATGTTAGTTACATGATCAGTCTACATTAAACACTGAACACACTGTAAGATAAACACTTTTCACGGAAGTATTCCTAGAGATCTACCTTAACGGAGCTTCTCATTTAGGAAGACGTGTCTATCAGAGAGGGAGGGGTAAGAATGGGTGCGTGTGATGCGGGGGGAGGCAGGCATGTGATTTCAGGCTCACCTGCGCCCTTCCCAGCAGCGGTTCTACTTCTTTGTTATGCTCGATGGCTGTTTCAAAAGACTGGAGGAAATTTGATACAATAGGATCCACCACTTTTTTGTTGGTCTTGTATTTCTCATGAATTATCTTCAGTAATCCACATTTCTTTACAGTACCTGTAAGAGAGAACTTATTTACCAAGGTTGGGAAAATGAGATACTTGCTCAGGCTGGCCTGAGGCTGCAGTCTGGCTAATGAAATCACTGAAAATGCATTTGGCTAACAGGGCATCAGTTGCTAGGCTCTAATGTCTAGTTTGCAAGAAAAAAACCTGACCTCCCAACACTCCATAAAACTAATAAGCTAAATGGACCAGAGTAAGTGGAAAGGACTATCACCAAACCTTTTATGTGTTCTCCTCACCATTAAAAGCACCGCAGTAATGGCAGATGTTTTTCTTCCGGCACTTATCAGAGATTTTCTTCTTCAGGCCACGTTTCTGGAGGTAGGTCAGGCCGGGTCTCTTCAGGTAATCCAGAAACTGCTTCTTCTCCTCCTGGGACAGCATGATGTGGCAGCAGGTTTTACAGATCATCTTTTAAAAATTAAAACCGATGAAAGGATGAGAGATGAAAAAGTCTTTTCTTGAAGGGAAAAAAAAAAAAAAAAAAGTCACCCCTACCTCTTGCCCAGAAGACTTTAAGCGATGTGCCCGGAGATATGCACAGAGAGGGGGCTGATGTTCACCAGAATGCTACTTATAGTCAGAGCTGCCTGGTAGAATTTTTGCTGATTTTTAAATTTTGTGCTGTTCTGTACTGCTTGATTCATGATTATTATTATTTTTTAAGTTTACTTATGGGGCGCCTGGGTGGCTCAGTTGGTTAAGAGTCTGACTTCAGCTCAAGTCATGGTCTCATGGTTCGTGGGCTGAAGCCCCACGTCGGGCTCTGTGATGACAGCTCAGAGCCTGGAGCCTGCTTCGGGTTCTGTGTCTTCCTCCTTCTCTCTGCCCCTCCCCCACTCATACTGTGTGTCTCTCATACTCATACTCTCTCAAAAATAAGTAAAACGCTAAAAAAAATTTTTTTTTTTTAAAAAGTTTAGTTTGAGAGAGAGACAGAGAAAGCAAGCAGGGGAGGGGCAGAGAGAGGGGGGTGGAGCGAGATTTCCAAGCAGGCTCTGTGCCGTTAGCACGGAGCCCGATGTGGGGTTTGAACCCACGAACCGTCAGATCATGACTTGAGCAGAGATCAAGAATTGGACCCTTAACTGACTGAGCCACCCAGCGCCCATGATTACTTTTTACAACACGTACTTACCACCTACTCAAGAAAAATCAAGAGTAAAGAATCCTTATGCGTCTTCTTGTAAGATGCAGTATTACGTTATGTAATGTAAAAATCCTTCCCAGATGTCCCCCTGACCACTCACGGCTCCGAAGCTCACTCCCAGTGTCCCTGAGCAGTAGTTCCTAAGTTTACAACCTGAAAACGGACACCTCTGCGCCTACCTGTAAGATGCCTATAACTGCTCTGAAGTAGCCCACATGGAAGCATGGCAACTCCAAGTCAATGTACCCGTAGTGTCCCAGACAGTCAGCCAGGTTCTTCCCACAGGTCTCGCAAGGACGGTCCTTCTCACTTGTACCCTTTGGAAAAAAGCACACGCAATCACTAATGGAGACCACTGCACAGGAAAGAGGGACCAGGTGACTCTGAGTCAAAATCGCTTGGGAAAGTGCAGTGTATTCAAATCCTCCAGACCGAGGTCTGGAGACCCTGAGATGTGCCGGGGGAACAAGGGAGATGGAGAGAAGCTCTTGCTTCTTCCAATCTGGCAAGTCAAAACGCACAGAAGCAGGAAGGGTTGGGACCTTACCATCCTATGGTCAAGCACACCATACAGCAAGGGGGCGTGGTTGTTGTCCTGGCTATACAGGTTCTTACTCACAACCTGGATGTGCGCCTGCTGGCGCATCTCTTCAGGTGACTTCATTCCAAAACAGATGTGGCTTCTGGAATAAAAAGAGACAGGAGTTGGGGTGCCTGCCTGGCTCAGTCGGTAGGGCACCAAGACTCTTGATCTTGGGATTGCAAGTGGAAATCCAATGTAGTGCATAGAGCTTACTTAATTAATAACGAGAGACGGGAGAAATTACATCAAAACCGCTTACCAAAAGCGGCTATTACACAGTGAGCCACCACAGCCAACCTTATCCTTCCAACTGTCTGTAGGCTCGCTGTGCTATTATTAAATATATTCAAATCTCTCCCATTTTTCCTTGGTAAGCATCCCTTCGTCCTACTGAAATAATTTCCATTCTTACTATCAAGTGAATGATTGCTTGCTGCTAAATTCTAGGAGAATGTTCTTATTTTACTGCTCTGCAGTGCTGGATGTTAACTCCCTCTCCCCCTTATCTTGAAATATTTTCTTCTCACGGCCTTGGTGACACCACATACTCTTTGAATGCCTTGGCCCCACGCCACCTGTTCCTTCTTAAGTCTCTTTTGTAGTTTTTTCTACTACCATCCCTTAAGTATGATCTCTCCTCACCTAGGGATGCAACACAACTCCTTTTTATTCTACACATCCCTCTTGAGTGACTGTGTCACTGGAGTACCTGTTAATGTCTGTCTAATCTCCTATAGACCAGCTACTACTACCCGGCTGGAGACCTCTTCTGCATAGCCGTACAGGCACCTCAAACCCGACACATCTAAAACAGAACCCAGAACTTTCTTTCCCAAATCTTTTCCTTCAACCATCTGACCAACAAACCGGGGATTTACGATGTGCCAAGCTGAAGATCCATATTAGAGGACACAGACAAGGACCCTGCCAACATGGGACTCACCGTTCAGGGTGGGCAAGAGAGACAAGCAAATACAGACACAAAAGTGAATAGATGCAGAGATTGAAAATGATATGAAGTGGTAGACAGAGTCTAAGAAAACTATGTTATGGGGTCAGAAAGCCTCTGTAAAGTTGACATTTAAACCGAATTCTGAGTAAGAGGGAGACAGCCGTAAAACCAGACAGAGGTCCGGCATTTTTAGTAGAGAACAGCTAGGGCAAAGGTCCCAGAGCCAGCACAAGCGTGGCATTCGAGAACCAAATGAACCAAGCCAGTATGATGGAGCACAGAAAACTAATGGTACAGGACGAAATCAGTGAGGTGTACAGGGCTCAGGTCAGGTTGGGCTTGGGAACTCTGGTAGAGAATTTAAATGTCAGTGCAAAAGAAAGCTGGTAGAAGGTTTGAAATGGAAGTCTCAGATACCTAATTTGCATCTTAACAGAGTCTGCCAGCCTGCTTTGTGAGAACAGATTACATCTGAATATGGATGGGGTTTGGGGTGGGCATGAGGGGCCAGGGAAATACCGATTCTTCCAAGTAAGATACTTGTTCCCCTTGAATGGCAACCATCCACACAGCTGCCCAAGCAAGAAATTCTGTGTTTCAATCTCACTTCTCCCTTCCCTCATCCCTAACACTCCTGTCAATTTTATATCCTAAACTCCTCTAAAATCCACTTCTCTCCAATGACTCTACCACCCTCATGCAGACCATCATTTCCCCTGCCTGGACCCCCTGCAGTGGCCTCCCAGGTCTCTCTCTTACTCTGTTCCCCAAGAATCAAGAGATCTTCCAGAAGAAGCACTCTTATCAAGACACTTCCCTGCTTAACACGCTTCAAAGGTTCCTTACTGCCTGCCAGATGACTCTGGAACACAGCTTCAGATCTCCCACGTCCTTCTCATCACCCTTTTCTCCCTCCAGTGCGCTCCTTATCTGGTCGGCGTTTTTCTGCTTTCTCATTACATACTCTCCGGACCCCTATACCTACGCTTGTACTTGCCAAGGTTCACTTGTCTACCTTCCTCGACTAGACTAGGCAGTAAGGTCTTATTCACGCCCCATCCCTAAAGCCTATGGCTGGGTCTAGCACACCATACCTTCCTCAGTGAGCATCTGCTGCAACAGCAACTGGTTCATTTTCCCACTGGAAGCATTAAGGAGAGGTCGTGGCCTGATAACTAAGCTCTGAAGGAGTAGACCCAGAAGCGCAGCCTTATTTTTGAGACTGCCACCCACAGCCCAGTGGTATAGCTTTCTAGCTGGTGACTCCAACCTTTTGGTCAGCAAATGTCGCCTCCGTGTTAGGTGCTTTGCAGTAATACCAGAATTAGACACACTCCCCGGCCCAGACTGCTCCCCCACGCTGCAGTGGCAGAAGATTCGCTGAAACAAAGGGGCCATCGTTTGACCTCGAGAGGACTCGTGCTTAGGCCCAAGGCTCACGTCCCATCCCACCTACTCCTCCCAAAGCCCAGGGGCCACCCCCGGCCTGCAGTCCCCCGAGTGCTGGAATACCCTCTGCCTGACCGATTTCTTTGACCTACCTTGATTACTTCTAAGCTTTGCCCACCACCTTCCGCTGATTCCTGGCCCTCCCCTTCCAATTGACCCTCATCTCCGACTCTTTGAGACCCAGGACCCCTGACCTCGCGCCCCTCTGCCCCTCATTTCTCCGTCCTTTGGCCATTCTTGCCCCTCCTTACATTTTCTTGGCCACATCTGTCTCTCGGAACTGCTCCTTCACCATGGTGACGGCTGCCGGGTCACCCTCCTCGAGACCGGGGGAGCTAGATTAGAGAAACGTAGCTCCCTGCACCTCCCGGCCGTGCTTCTTGCCTCGTTACTAACACAGCAGCGGCATCCTCTCGGCCACCGTAGAGCGCCCCACGTGGTCGCTTCCTCTTCCGCTACTCGCCGGCGCGTCTGTCAGTCAAGAGAGGCTTCGGACACGCCGCTTTTCGCCTTCTCCCTGCACTGCCATCTTGCGGCGCCTCTTTGAAACTGCACCAGGGCCTGTGCTGTATCTTCCAAAAGCCCATTTCCGGTCCATTTCTCCAGGTCTTCTGACACCTGCAGAGATACTGCAACGCTTTGCCTCAGGACTTTCAGGCAGTCAGGGAGACAAAAACTGCATAAAGAGGAAAATCGTCGTCATCGTCACCAACAACATCTTAATTAAGATCCTCTAATTTTTTAAGTAAAGGTGGAGGCTTAAAATGAACCTGCCCAGGGTACAGAGGTACCAACTGGACGACCACGGAAAGAAATAAACAGGTCAGAAAACACGGCCATGCGTGCACCTTCAGTTTACAAAGTTACTTTGAAAAAGAAATGAATTAAACATGTTATTGATTACAAAAACAGAAGCTGTAAATCTGTGAAAAGTTAGCCATGATGAGCTAGGGATACAAGATGAGGGGACACAGCGAAGTGAAAATCATTAATGTATACAGGAGATAAATTGCTTACCCAGTCTGTGACAACCTGTGGGAGGTGATCCTAGTGTGATATCTAAGCACATGAGACTACCAAGGAAACCATACTACCATAGGATTCAGTGCTACAGAGCCAAAAATGTCTTTACTATTTGTGGGGAACTCTAAACCGAATCCAATGAAGTGGTTTAACACCTTTGAATTGTAAGAAGGTACGTTAGACTCCATGGATTCTTACTAGCAAAACACAAATGCAACAGACGAAAAGCAAAGCAAATCAGATTTTACTTTACTTATTGTGGACAATACTATACTAACAAGACCATACTAACAAGATTTGATGAGTGATTTTGTCATAGAGAGGTTAAGAGCAAACGTTCTGGAACCACAGTGCCTCCGTGGGTACTACCACCTAAAAGTTGTGTAACTTTGGGAACGCTATTTACCCTCATTATGTCTTAGTTTCCCCATTTTATAAAAGGGGTCAGCAATAGGTACCCTACTTCTTAGTTGGTCAAATGGCAAAATGAAGGTGAAAGTAATTAGAATGTAACAGGCACATAACAATCACTCGGTGAATATTAACTATTATTATTCTAAAAAATACAGGAAAGTTGTCCTCGAAGCCTGCACTGTGGTTTTCTCATTCATTCTAACCTTCGGAAAGTTCTTTCCTAATGTCTCTTTGAACATGTACATATATTCTTTATTTTTGCATGACCATTTTACTTTAAACAACTAAACGAACTTATGGATCAAACAGCTTTTTTTTGTTGTTGATAAGGACTAAGATTTTCAGAAAAAGCAAATTAATTAATGAGTTTTTTGTTTTTAATTTACAAAATCACCAGGAAAATCTCAGAAAAACAATACGTAGCAATCAACGAAAATAGTTTTATATATTTGACATAACAAAGGTTTTGAGTCAGGATTTCTGTAGTTTTCCTCGCTATAAAATGAGGAGGCTGGTTGACAGTATCTCCTAAGATGTCTTGCATCTTTACGAACCTCTAACTCGCAATGAGACAATTTAAACTATAATTCGGCTTATCGGAACTTTAAAGAAGCGCAGTTCAAGACAGTAAATTGAGCTGAAAGGGAACCCACGCTGGCGTAAATCCGTCGGCCCGAGTTGTTCCGCCTCTGGATTGGCCAGTCCAAAATCCCGGGGGTGTGGCCGAAGATCCTTGGCTCACCTTAAGCCTTTTTCAATCCGGCATTGGCGCGGCCGCCCTCACGGTTCGGGCCACGCCCACACGCCGGCGCCTCCTGGGGTCCTTCCGAGCGCATTGATATGATTGGCCCGCGGTTAGTGGTTCTCTTTTCGTCCCTGGCTGCCTAAAGCTCGACCGCCATCATGGTGAGTTTCTTTAGACCCGTGCAGTCATCTGTCGCGTATCTGAGCCATCCTTCGTCTCTGGGTCCTGCCTTTTGCGCTATGGCCACCTGAAGCCCCGTCGCTTTTCTTTGGGTGTGTCTGACGGAGGCTGGTTGCCTAGAGACCCGGAGCCGTCGGTGGGGAGTCCGGGCTGCGCTGCCGGACCCGGACACGCCGGGTTTCAGGGTCCAGGGCCTGGGGACTGCGCGAGCGTCTCCTGCGTTTGTCGCCTTCGTGGAGCCTAGTGGATTGGGCTGGGTGGGGTGAGACTCATTTCACCGGGGGGGGGGTCTCAGTTTGCGATAGGCGGTTTGCAAGTGATGGCAGCTCTAGAGGTGAAGCGGGTACTGGCGGCGCCCGGGCGAGTTGTGGCGAGTGAAGCCGATTCCACGTGTAAGCTAAAATATTGTCAGCCGGATGGAACTTCTTGCACACTGGGGAAACCGAGGCCCTGGACATGGAAGCCTGCAAAGAGTGTGGATTAAGTCATGACTAGTCAGCTCTGTCTTAAAGGTTCAGCACCCATTTCTAAGTCGACCTCCTCTGCAACCCCCCCCTTCCCCCCGATCTTCTGAAGAGTTGGGTACTATTGAAGTGAACTTACTTTGGGGTGGCTTTTCAAACTGAAATTGAAACGTAGCAACCAATTGTTGCCTCTTCCTTCTCTCCTCTTTCTGTAAAATTTTTACTTAGTGGAAACATGCCGAATGCCCACGTTTCCTTGGTGGTCACTTGTATAAGAGCTGTTGGGCCATTTAGAAGGGGGTAGGATTTCTTGTGGGCCATTCAAGACGGGTAGTTGACATGCAGAGTGCAGTGTTTGTGTCAGATTTGTGCAGGATGTTAGGAACGTAGTTGAGACTATAACCTTTGTTAAAGTGGAAGTTTTAGTTCAGAGAATGGGTTCTTGGGTGAGGGTGATTTTGGGGTTTGTTTACACTTAGGGGTACAGTCTGCAAAATCTGGAGACATGTTTTCTTATCACAACTGGGGAGTTGGGGGTGCTACTGGCCTCTAGTGGTTAGAGGCCATGGGTGCTCCTAAACAGCTTAAAATAGGACAAACCTCACAGAATTAGGACCAAAATGAGGTGTTGAGTTAGAGAAACTGCTCCAGAGTGATTCCCGTAGCAAAGAGAAGTAAGTTTCCAGAAAGCTGTTGAGTGGGTTTTCTTGGTATTGAGTTTATGTGTGTTAGAGGTGTCCTAGAAGGTAGGCACTTGGCATTTGTTTTTCTTTTCATGGAAGTATTCCCACCACTAGTTCCTGTGGTTCTTGAACATTTGAAATGTGGCTCCTGCAGCTGCGGGATTCGGAATTGCATCTTAAATGTCATTTGACATTTAGAAATTATTCACATATGGCTGGTGGCTACTCCTTGGCAGTTCCAGAGCTTGGAAAATTACAGCGGGATCAAGAAAAGGTTGAGTGGTGTCATTAACTAGTGTGTAATATTTTCAGAATGACACAGTAACTATCCGGACCAGGAAGTTCATGACCAACCGACTACTTCAGCGGAAACAGATGGTAAGGAAGGACACATCACAGTTTGGTTGTTTTGCTTCAAAAAATGCATTTCGTAATGATAAATGCTAAAATTTGTTACTTCTTTTAAGGTCATCGATGTTCTTCACCCCGGAAAGGCAACAGTACCTAAGACAGAAATTCGGGAAAAACTAGCCAAAATGTACAAGACCACACCAGATGTCATCTTTGTATTTGGATTCAGAACCCATTTTGGAGGTGGCAAGACAACTGGCTTTGGCATGATTTATGATTCCTTGGATTATGCAAAGAAAAATGAACCCAAACATAGACTTGCACGAGTAGGTGTTCTCATTTGTTCAACAGTTACTGAAGACTGAATTTCAACAGCATTGTGCTGTGGGTGCAGTGGAATGAGCAAGAGCAAGCAGTCTGGGGAAGGACAAGCTACAGATCTAAACACTAATGGGGTTAAGAGAGAAGGTTCTTCGACAGATGTACAGATAAGAAAGAGTGCAGGGTGTCAGTAATGGAGTCTACAGCTTTTGAAGAGATGGCATTGGAGCTGTGTTTAGAAGGGCAAGTAATAATTGTGAGGATAGGAGCTGGAAATAGGGGGATGAGTTTGAAAGGTTGGCACCAAATTGAGATCCTTGATATTGAAGTCTGAGTTTGGATTTGGTTCTCACAGGTAGCCAGGAACCATGAAAGGTTTTTGATCATTTTGTGGGTGCCAAGCACTACAGTGAACTACAGCAGTGAGCCGGAGAAGCTCCCTTAGATTCTAGGTCGTAAACTAGTACGCAGACGGTTACTTTCAAGTACTTCTGTTTCTCTTTCTCCTTCTCTGCCATCAGATAAGTAGAACACAGGTGAGGGAAAACATGATGTGGTAGATAGATGCTGCACTCTTTGATTGGGTGGTCTGGGAGGCCTTGCTGAGCAGGTGACGTTGAAGCTGAGGTCCATGTGAAGGTTGGTTGAAAGCAGTCTTCAGGCAGCAGGAACGGCAGAGTGACGTGGGGGCGTTGAGAGCACATCTGGTTCCTGTGCCATTGATTTGTACATGTACGTGTCCCTTAATTTGATGACCAGGTACTAGCACTATTTTTAAATGTGCTTGAAGAAGTATTGATTTTGGGAAGCTGCATTTCTTGAGCTGTCTGGCTTGGTCATGGTCCTTACCAGATTAGTTAATGCTGAGTTGACGTTGCCAGTCACTTATGAGGTACTCCTTTCTCCTTCAGCATGGCCTGTATGAGAAGAAAAAGACGTCGAGAAAACAGCGGAAGGAACGCAAGAACCGAATGAAGAAAGTCAGGGGAACTGCAAAAGCTAATGTTGGTGCTGGCAAAAAGGTATTGTTCATCAAGGAGAATACAGAAATGTCAGTTGCAGGTCTTTAGTTTCTAGAAAGGAGGGATTTGTTTTCTTAATAACCTTTTTTAAT